TTGGACTGCCAGCTCTACACACAAGTGCTGAAAGTTTTCTGTAAGGGCTTTCAATGTCTGCAGATGGTTTCTAGAGTTGGGATGACTGTAAATTATAATATCAGTGGAGATCAAGCTCTGAGGTACATCAGGTATGTTCAGATCATCTCCTAAAGCAGCTGTTACATTTGTAAAGACTTCATATAATAAAATGTTTCCAGGCAAATGGTTGCCTATGTTCATGTAATATTTTCAACTAATTTAAATCTTCTTTGCTGCAAGCAGCTCAGGTCTTTGAACTCTCATTCCTAGGCTGTATTTCCTGAAAACTGTGTTTTTCTTGGAAAAAGTCCAAAGAAGTCTTGGATCCATTCTTGGAGGTGTAGTGTCCAAACTAGTTGCAAGCTTCAGTTTGCATGAGAAAAAATTAAGCATTGCTGTTAATCTCAGAAATGACACTACACTCTTTTGCAGCAGTGTGACGTCAGTGAGCCTTTCAGTCTGTGCTTCGCTTTAATCCCCAGATCAAATTTCAAACGTACTGGTTTACTGAGCTTGAAATTCTTTCATCTAAATGTGGTATCTCTAACTGGTTTAGAGCATAGCTGTAAGTATTCTCAGATCAGTTCACTGGAAATGTGTTTAACCACACTTTCTCTTCTGTTTTTGTCATAAAGGGTAACTAGCTTATGACCCTTCAGCAGCTGTGAACTAGAAACCCCATGTAAATGGGGTACATTCAGTTGTACAAATTCAAAAGATTCCTGTAACTGTTGCCTAATAAATGAGTAATTTTCCTTTCTGTTCTTTGATAAACTTTTACTGTAATGCTTTAAGTTTTAGATCCGACAAAAACTTAAACGTTCTGCTCTGGAACACAACTTCTGCCCTTTGAGTTCTTTACTTGAAGTATTGCATTTATGCACTCAGGCAGTTGAGTTTGTACAACACTAATTCCAAGTATTTTAATCTGCTTGCTGTTGCACTAAAAAACACTGGACAAAAGTTATTTGAGAACTTTGCAACTCTATTTGATGTTGTGGCCTATATGTTGAGACTCTCACGATAGATTATCCACAAAATTCAGCACCCTAACATATTATATTTGGAACAGTCCAAATCCAGTTACTTCAGGTCTTGAGAAGAATAGGGCTGTTCCAGGAATTCCTATCGACTGAAATAAGTATGTTGATGGACTAATTGGATTAAAGAATGAAAGAGGCAATAAATAAAGTTTCTTAAGAAGTAACCAGACATTCCAGACTCCTGTTTTTTGAAACACATCTGTAATTACTGAAAGCCTTAAGGGTTCATTGACACTGACAACACTTTATGCCTGTTATTGGAAGTGCTTCAAAAAAGTTGTCAGCTATAAGAGTTCATGCAGTAGAGGATAGACCATATAGCAAGCCCATCCTTGTTTATTCATACCAACTGTTTTGAGAATTAACCTTCTCAGTTAATAACTATATTCATAGGGATTTTCTTGTTTGATTCTGTTTCTGTGGCTCGGAAAAAAACATTGCATATATCCTGTGCATTACATACAACTTCACTGCAGCTAGTTCTGTTTGAACCAAAGTGTATTCCTATAAAAACATTAATTATTGATTAGAAACTTTGGTGTGTGAAGGAAAGATTACCAGTTGTGTAGTTTCATCAGTCAATTATTTTCACCCTGGAACTGCTGCCATTTGTAGCTTTTATCTGTTAGACTTGGTCCTGATTAAATTTCTTATCCATTTGTACTATTTATGTATGGATTAAAATCTTCCTGACTCCCAGGTTTTCTTTAAACTAAGGTAGTTGAATTATTAAGCTCTCTGCTTTGGAGGGGGATGGAGATATTTCTAATTGTCATGTCAGTTTTTATTTTGGTGGTCTTTCAAGTATCTTTCAGCCCGCTTATTTAAAACGGTGTGAACATGAGCTGGCACAGCGTTACAGTAACACACCAGAGTAAAGCAGAGGTATTACCCCATTGTGTATGTTCAGACATCACATCTGCCATTTTCCTGCAGAAATGCACTCACTGTGTTATCAACTGTAATTCCAAGTCTTCCAGAGAAGTTAAATGCTGTCTACAATCATTCCTGACAGAAGGCTTCTGGTTTTCATTCCCTGATGTATATCACATTATGCATTTCAGAACAATCAGATATGTCTGGGTGATTTATGCCTAAATTCATAGGCCAGTTCACAATAAATGACACATTTTTATTTTCCCGTGACTTAGAAACACTGATAATAACTTCAAGCTTTCCAGTTATTAAAAAAAAAAAAAAAGGTGGAATACTTTAGGTACTAGAAAGTAATTTCTGGAGCAATGTATTAGATCTATACCTCCATTACCACTTTTAGATGCATATGTATAAAATTAATATGAATACAGATACAACTTTGGATCAAAAATGTAGAGCTTTGGATGCATTTAATATGAATCTTTGTTTTTATTCGTCAAACTATTAGAATATCACTGGTACAATAATGTTGGAGTAGGATTCTGTTGGCTAAGCATAGCTTACATTGCTGTTTTAGATCTTCTGTGATTGTCTGCCTTGTCTCAGCTTCTTTTCCAAAAAGGAATAAATCTCCCATAGGCTCGTATAGTAAGATTTGCCAATCCTGTATGGATTTCTTGAGCTTTCTAGGGCATATGCGAAGGTAATAGCAATCCGTCCTCATGTAACTGAGTCACGTCCTGTATGTATGGCAGAAAAGTGGCAGTGTTGTATCTATTGATTAAACTTGTTCTCTCAAATTTCAAACTCTTGTACTAAATTCACACTGGATTAGTATTAATTATCCTATTCTAATTGTATTAGGGTTCCATATTTCCTTTCTTTTGTGCCTACCACCTAATCAGTTTTGAATGGATCCTGCTGGTAAAGGGTAATTGGTAGATACATAGAAATGTTAGTTGGAAGGGCTCTCTGGGTTGTGGTGTGGGTGTTTTTCTGGGGGGTAGGAGCCTCATTCCTATCCATTCAGCTAATTCTTCTACTTTTATATATGGGTTTGGGTGGTTTTGTTTTCCACAGGAAAATAAACAGAAAAACAGTAGTTAGATACATTTTCCATTGTTTTAATTTAGATACTTAGATCAACATTAGCGGGATTATTTTTAATACGTTGTGTAAATAACATGAAAAATGCTACAGCTGGGTTTCAGACACAAGAGCATCTAACATCAGTGTTCAATATGGAGATATTGGGGGGTTGGAACTTTTCACAAGGGCTTGTATTGATAGGACAAGGGGTAATGGGTTTAAATTGAAAGTGGGGAGGTTTAGATTAGATATCAGGAAGAAGTTCTTCACAGAGAGGGCAGTGAGGCACTTGAACAGGTTGCCCAGAGAAGCTGTGGATGCCCCATCCCTGGAAGTGTCCAAGGCCAGGCTGGATGTGGCTTTGAGCAACCTGGTCTAGTGGAAGGTGTCCCTGCCCATGGCAGGGGGGTTGGAACTGGATGGTCTTTAAGGTCCCTTCCAACCCAAACCATTCTGTGATTGCTTTAAGTATGAGGGAGACATTGAATTCTGTGTGTCAGGATAGTTTCCTTCATACAGATATAAAATTGAATAAGAAGGCAGCCTTTTTGAAAGATACTTACCTTACTGTAAATTATACCATTTATCAAACTGATTTCAGATACATGTCTAAAAATACATCCTTAAAAATAGTACATGTATGTAGAATAGGAGGAAAAAAGCCTTGTATATCTTAACAGCAATTGATGCCTACAGCATTGGAAAGGCTATTTGAATGAATAACTCCTAACTGCTGGGTCTATCGATGCCTTTAGCAATATGAAGGAATGAGAACTAAGGAGAATGAGTGTGTTGAGAAACTATGGCCAAGGTGGAAATAAAATATAGAACCTTGTTACTTTTTCAAGTCAGATGGTTTCTATCCTAAAAACACCCAAAACACAATCAAAACCATTGCAAGAAATAGTTAAAATGCTGCAACTTAGCTGGCTAAATCCCTCAAATTGTGTGGAGTACCATCTAGAATTGCAAAGATAATGAACTCAGTAGGACAGTGTGTGTGCTCTTTGAATCTTTTACTTGCCATGAACTGTACTAGATGAGAGAGGAGAAAGACCTGTGTGTGTGTGAAAGTATCAATTAGAAGCAGAGGAAAAAGCAGCTTCATTAAAACAAGCAGAAGTCTGCTATGAGGTGTCAGTGCCAGTTTATGGAGCTCTCAGTAGTCTTGAGCTGGTGTAAAGAGGGTGATTAGTCACTTTTCTGAAGTGCTGGGTTTGAACTGGAACAGGTACGGTGAGGAGATGCAGGAGCATCAGGGAATGCTGTATCTTGAGATCTGTATTCTGGGGCTTGTTTGAGGAGTCCTAGAGTAATGGTTAAGAAAGCAGAGTTTATTTGATATAAATTAATACAATGGGTGGGTAAAGGAAAAGATGTCACCTCATTTAATAAATATTGGCAAAAACCTGATACAGTTTACCTGCAGAGTCCATATAGTGTAGGAGTTGAAAGGATTCCAGCAGTCAGAGTAGTCAGGTTTCAGGCCTGTGGAAGTGTAACTGGAGTGCGAATGGAGCCCAAGTTTACAATGAGAGATGTGCACAGCCTGCAGGGGTGTCGGACGATCTGTGGTCTTTTCACAAGACTTCTTGTGACTTCCACCTAGTGAGAGAAATCAGCATTGTTGGAATTTCACCCCTGAAATGAAGTGACCTTTCAGTATAAAAGGTAATGAAGGTGGTAAGAGAAAGCAAGGTGCATATAGTACACATCTGACATGTAACTTGTAAGATACTTGAACCAGTGTTTTTAAAATATGTCCTGCCCTTTCTATGTAACTATAAATATGATAAGGAAATGCAGAATATGCATTAAAAAAACACCAAACCTTAAATAATTTTAAATGTGTTAAGGTGATTACACTTTGTATGTCAACATTTTATATTACATACTCCAGCTAAAACCCAGAATCCTTAACTTCAGCAGTTGTGTAACTTTTTTCCTTCCTTTTATCCTTTCTTCCTTCAGATAACAGTGATCTAATTGCTTGCACAGTCATAACAAAGGATGGGGGTCAAGTTCAAAGATTCCTGGCTGTGGATATTTACCAGATGAGTTTGGTTGAGCCAGATGTGGCCAGGCTTGGATGGGGAGTAGTTAAGTTTGCAGGCCTTTTGCAGGTGAGAGAAATTTTAATCTGGGTGGTTACTTTTTTCTCAGCTGAAAATCTACATTTATGTTCTATGAATAGTAATACCAATATTAGCTTATATATTTACTCTGTACCTTGCTTGCTTGTTTCTTCTGATACTAGTCTTTTTTTCTCGTTTCTGCCTTTTACAGTCTTTCTGAAGTTTACATGGCTCCCTAAAGGCACACTAGAAAATGAGGTCACTTCCCCAACAGATATTGGGGTGTGTTTGTTTGAACGCTGCAACCATATACAATCAGGATTGAGTCCCAAGCACTTTGCTTAAGTGGCACAGTAATGAACTCTAGAGTTCCAATCTTCCTAAACAGATTGGGAAAGTGACACGCTGTAACTTCACAGTAATCTGTGCTTATCTAATGGATTTCAAAAGTTTCAAGTTTGTCTCATTTATGTCTCTCTCTTACCTTGGCCAAAACACTTTGTATTTCCTGAAAATTTGCTATGCTCAAATAACTCAAATGAATTTTAAACTGACTTAATCTTTGAGTACCAATTTCTGATGAACCTAATGCAAGGTTGTACAACTTGCAGTCCTTTTTTTGTTGTGATTTTTTTAAAAAAAAAACAAACAGGGAAACTTGGTTTTAGGTGCTTTAGTGGAACATTCATAAGGTTTTCTTTTAATGTTGATGTTTAGTCTATAGTTTAAAAACTCTAACTTTTTATTAACTAATTGCCTTCCATTTCTTTGTAGGATATGCAGGTGACGGGAGTAGAGGATGACAGTAGAGCTCTGAACATAATAATTCATAAGCCTGCCTCAAGTCCTCATTCAAAGCCTTTCCCTATCCTTCAAGCGACATTTATTTTTTCTGATCACATTCGCTGCATTATTGCAAAACAACGTCTTGCAAAAGGCCGCATCCAGGCTCGGCGTATGAAAATGCAGAGAATAGCAGGTAAACGGTTATTTTTAAAAGATTCTGAGAAACAAGACTTGTATGTCATAGCAAGTCACTCTGCAGCATAAAGATGTTTTAGAAAAATTTAAGAAGTGGTGTGTCACAGAAAACTATAAACCAGTGTCTAGTTTCCAAACAATAGATTTTACTGAGTAACATGTGTTTTCATATTTAATGATAGATACATTATGGACAGGATGGAAAAGAAGGAACCCTGTCTTCTTATCACTAGCTGATAATCATTTCACAAAAAGGTTGCCAGAAATGTTGTCTCTCTGTTCCAACGCAATTGCAACCATAATTAAGAGGAAAATGCAGGCAATATGGTTTAGTCTTAAGATCCCAATTTATCAATCTTACTTTCATTCACTCTTCATTTTATGTATTTTTGAGTAACGAAAGTTATCAATTGTGATTAAACATAGCTCTCCTGGATCTTCCTGTTCAGCCTTCAACTGAAGTTGTTATGGGTTTTGGACACAGCTCTGCAGCTGCAGCCCAACACCTTCCATTCCGGTTTTATGATCAGTCTCGACGTGGTAGCAGTGATCCTACAGTGCAGCGTTCTGTTTTTGCCTCTGTTGACAAAGTTCCAGGTAAGATTAGCACTCACTCTAAAGCAGCTTTTGCTTTGTGCTTTGTATCAGCTGAAGTTAAACTGTAACTTGGCTAAGCAATGAAAAGCCTGCTGTGATGTTTCTGAACACAGAACTTCGGGGTTGAGCCTTATGGAAAAACTTACTCCTAGATAAACAGGTAGTACCTGGGTCTGTATTCCAGGTGCATTGTGAGCAATACATCCACAGCAGTTTCTCCAAATGCACCGGAAGCCTCATAATACTTTGCCTTCCTTCACAAACTGAGCTAGTTTAAATCTTGTTTCACGTGCTGGGTATTTATACAACACCTTTAATTTGGTTATGATCGTTTTCTTGTCAGTTTGTAAGAATAGCTGGAATACTGTGCACTGCTTCGATTACCTTTGAGCTAGGAAAACAGAAAAGGGCCACAGCTACCCCTAAAACATTACTTGGAATTGGGGCTAAAGGAATGATTGTAAATCAGTGAGCTCTTTGCTCTTTTGTCTCCTTACTGTCTTATTTCTCAAATTGACTTCTGTGCAGAAGGGTTTTTTTCCAGGTGGTGAACTTTTCTCCTTTTGGATTGTGTCATTTTAAAGTTGAATCTCATACTGCTTGAAAGTACTTAATTTTGCTGTATTTTACAAAAAGAGGCAGTCTTGTTGCCACTAGCTGCCAATCATTTCACAAGACTCTGCATTTCTCTTTAAATGTGATTTCAGTGATTCAAAATTCAGATGCCCTATGTAGAAAGCAGGTGTTCTGCTGCCTTAAGAAATAAATTGGAGCTCAGCCTGCCTGAGTTCTGAGTCTGGCGAAGAGAAATCATAAAAGCATTTATATTGCTGGTTATCTTTTTCAAAATACAAGTGTATGTTTTATGATGAGGAGGTATTTCCTTGTATGACATGACTTCCATGGAAAGATGTGTTGGAAAGATGCCAGTCTTAACTGTTTCAGAAACAACCTTCTCTAAGAGGAGTGTGCTTATGATTGTAAGGGGTGACTTCATCTACTAATTCTCTTTTTGGGGTTTTTTAGGGGAAGGGGGAGGGGAGGGGCACGGATGTTCTGGGTGTGATGCAACATGGTGTGTTGTTCAAACAACCACACGCTTACTTTGAGTTCCAGGAAATGGAGACTTCCACCAAATGTACATGCAAATCCAGAGGAAAAAGTGTTTTGAAGATTTTATTTGCTAGCAAGTCTGAGAAACCAGACACAGAACATGAAGTATTTAAAATGCTGCATTTTTAAAATGCATTTTATGATGGCCAGTAATATAGTAAAATAAATTAAAAATTGGTTTACATCTGATTACAAAATAAATATCAAATGCCTCTTCATTCTCCCCTTATCTTCACTAATGAGTGAATGAGGTTTCCTAGTTCTGAGTGATTTTCATGGGAATCTGTTTGTGTTTATCCCTTCATCAGACTTGGAGTGATTTTTACTTTGAGAAAGATTTTGTGCCTGTTTAAAAAAAAAAAAATAATTACTGAACAAGTTGCAGTTAAATTACTAGCTTCATGTATTCTTTTCTTAATGCTACAACTTCAGGTGGTGATTAAGAGTTCTGCAAAGCTCATAGTCTGTGAGAAACCCAGTAATAGAAAATAATAGCAAATTCTGAGACTGAGAATTCTCGTGTCTTGTGTTGTAGTGGTGACATGCTTTAGCTCTCTCCATGCCATTTGAACTGCAGTAGCTATTCCAGTTGCTTTCAACTTGTAGAAAGGACTTCTCTGGCTGATGGAAGAAATTGTGGCATACTTTAATATGAGTGTTCCTTTGTGCATTAAAAGACAGTTAACACAAATGCTGTGCTGGCACTGCACAGAGAGCATCAGCCATGGCATAGAATTAAGTCCCCTGATCACTAGACTTAAAACTAGTCTGTTAAGTGTACTAAATTGATGAGAAGAACTGTGAATAAAGCTACAGTCCTCATATATTAGCACTGCTTGGCAAATGTGGAGACTAAATATGTCAATTAATCTATTTTTTGATGCTGGTTGAAGTTGCAGCAGCAACTGGCAACAGAGCTCCAAGTGATCGATTTGTTTTGCATGTGTTTTTTCTTGGCAGAAAAAACCATTTTTGCATTAAAACGGTTCTTCAGTTTTATGAGGATGTAACAGAGTTTCTTAGAAGTAATCAATCTCTGCACGTTGAAATTTTTAAGAAGTGTGTCCAGTTTTCAGAGGCAGCACTTTACAAAGATGCAAAATAACTTGGAAGAAAAGTAATTCTCAGGCACATAAGGGGTTTTTCATTCATACTTGCAAAATGTTGAAGTTCAGCATTGCCCTTACTTGACTAGGGACCAACATGTGGAAAGACACAAGAATTTTGTGTGAGATAACTGTACTTAAAAGAACAGAATAGGAAGCAATCAGAATACAAAAAAGACATTGGGGTAATGAAGATAGGGTTTACAATGAGAAAAAGGTTTCTGCCTTCTTGGCCAAGGCTTTATTTCTGCTTCTCAGGTGTTATGGGGTTTTCTTTTTCAATCTTGCTTGTCCTGTTCTCTGCCACCACCACCCCTTCCCCTTCACACCTTCAAATTCTATTCTTAAGAGATCTTGTAGTCATCTTTTACATGAGATAATTTATATGGTATTAGGAAGGTTTTCTCCAATTTAGGAGAAAGATTTGCATTAATTGCTTATGAAAAAGTTCCTTTACAGAAAATTTAAGAAGCTATTTCAGGTTTTGGCATGAGTTTTTGCTGCTGTTATGTTAAAAATGGCAAAAGGAAAACTGTGTTTACATATTTTCTTATAAAAGAAACACAGCCTCATGAAACATTGTGATTATAGAAATAAGATCTTCTCCAGGAAACTGGGAAGGTACATCTTTACACTAATACCTTACTGAGTCTTAGACAGAGTTATCTTGAAGCAGAATCATGACTACTGAAAAGTATTTGTGTTTGTAACTAACCTCTATATCAACCTGAGTGTCATAAAGTAGGAATAAAGACACCTCTAGAACTTTGAGTGTCATTTTACTTCTGTAGCCATGATTAATTCTGCTCACCTATTCTTTGCAGGTGTTTCCTGAAGGAATTTCCTGGTTAGACTATTTGTTCTTGGTTGGTAGTTTCCTAGTTACAGCATTTTGAATGACTTAGACTTACCTTTCCCTCCCATCTAAGCTACCTTTGGGTAGCACACTTGAAATCCCTCCTCTGCCGTTGTACAGTACAGGGAGAGAAAATATGTTAAGGTCGTTTGCAAGCCTACGCTTCAGTGTAAGGCCATGAATCCACGAGTGCTGTTTCGCAGAACCTTTAGGCAGGCAGATTGCTAACTCAGGCCAGCTTTTCCTATGATAGTCACAGTAGACCTTTTTTACGTTTTCTACTATTTTGGTGAGGATGGAAGATTTCTCCTGCCTTGAAATGCAAACCTTCTGTGCATATAGAATGCGTTGGATGGGTACAACTTTTTCCAGCACTGTAAGGGAAACAGAATATATTGATGTAAGCACTAATATACCAACGGCTTTAGTAACTTTTCCAAAACCAAGTTTCATTCACTTTCACAGTTGGCTTTGCCCCACTTTTGTGGTCACAAGTCCCTTGATTATTCCTTGTTTCCCATTCTAACTGGGGTTTCAAATATGAAGTATGTATGAGAAACTTAATGCACATTTGCTATATGAAAAACCCTGTATCACTGGCCCTGAGTGCTATAGAAGTCTTTCATATTTGAAGTAGTTTAGCTTGTGGTTAACTTTGCAGACTGTCAGGCGTCACTGTGTGTAACCTCAGTTTAACTTATCTAGGTGATTGTAGAAGATCAATCAGTTTGGTTTCTGAAATAAAATATGTGGATTTATTTACCTTTTAAGAATAATCAGCTACTTACCAAACTATTTTGCTTTTAACTAAAATAGATGTCTCCTGCCATGGTGGTTATTTAATTCTTTCAGGGGTGTTCATCTTGCACATAATGAATTGTAATTTAACGTAGGAGAAAAGCTTGGTAAAAGTGGGATTCACCCATCTAAAACTGTTGGAAGTACTACAGCAATTGAGACAGCATTGTGTTTCTGCAAGTGGTTTTGAGTCTACTTCTGGAATATAAACATGGGAGTTAGAGAGTAAGAGCTGGAACCACAGGTTTAAGTCCGTTTAGTAACAGGACTGATGTTTGTTAGCTTTTTTTCTACATCTTCCTTTCATCATCCGTTGCTGGTTTTCCTTGTAACACAACCTATCAGCACGTGTTGCCGCCAACAGCATTTTCCTGACTTGTCGCATCTGTTTTAAAGCTTTCATGTGCTGCTTGTAACAACCCCATTTCAGCTGGGTTTTGACTGGCTGCTTGCTGCATGGCACCAGGGAATTCCCCGTATAGGAGATTGGGAGTGAGCCAGCCATCCAGTGCCATGGAAGATTCCCCATACGAAAGACTGAAGAGTTGTGTGGTGCGTTTGCTTTCTCCCAGATACCCGATGGTTAATACTTTCCTTTTCAGTGTTCACTATGCAGCGAAGGCAGTAAGTAGTTTATTGTTAGGTGTTTCCTGGTGTGCATCATGGCTACTTTCAGTAATTTCCGGGGACTGCCAGTAAAAAGTGAACTTCTGTGGGAGAGTGGGGAGGGCTGCAGGAGCAGCTGAGCTGTGTCCGTCGCCCGCCCTACAGCCCGTAGTGCTGACACTGCTTGTGCTGTCAGCAGCGCTTCGCCTTCTGAAAAGCAGCTTGCCCTCAAAACCTGAAGAGATGATGGAAAGCTTCCAAGGGCTAGGAGGAATGTCTGCCACAGAAAAGCCTTACCGATAAAATCAAGGAATTGCTATAGGCATGTCCTTGTGGTTTTCAGCATCTTTCCTCACAAGGAAGGTGTAATCTTCTAAAGAAAATAAGAGGTCAAGGAAATATGGACAGTGCAGTGGTGATGTCTTCACTGGACTTGTGTGGGAAAGGCAGTTCGTGAACTTCTCCTTCACAGCATGGTGTGAATTCTAGCGGGTAATTCCGTAACGTTCAAATGGCACAATGCTACGATGCTAGTAGGTGCTAGACGTTTAAGGTTTTGATTCTTCAGCGTTTTTATAACACCAGCCCGGTTGAAGATGAACTTGACCACTTCTATAACAACTAAACTATGAAAACCATAAGTTAAAAATTCAGCTGAAAAATCAAAGGGGGAAAACAATTTCTAATTGAAAGGTACAGTAAAGGGCAACTTAATTGTTTTAATCTCATGGGAGATATCCTGGCTTGTTCGGTCTAATCACATGTGAGTTAGCAGGTCAGCCCAAAGCGAGGGTCTCCAGCATATGGGGATCAGCAGAGTTGTGAAAATAACTTCTGAAGTGTTTTTACGGCAAGTCTTGCTCTTCCCCACTATAGGTTTTCTGCAAAAGCAGACTTCTGGTCAAGACTGGACCTTTTATAGTCTTACTGAACAACTTTTTTTCTAATCATCTCGCAGAGGGTTGATGCAAGAGTTAAGTGCTTTGACTTTGATACAAAGTCTGCTGAAAACCCGATCATCCTTACTTGCTTCTGTCCCAGCAATGACAAACTCATTTTGGTGTTAAATGAAAATATAGGCTTTAAGAAAGTCCTGACAATGGCTGGAAAACACAAGATTATATAAAGCACAAACAAAAACGTATTTGGCAGATATCATATAACATGACTTCTTAAGAAATTGCTCCATATTCCAGATTCCTGACTACAGACCAAATTTTTACAAGACTGATGTAAAGCGTTAGAACTTTTCCAAAGATACTCTTGTATTTCTGTTTACGTTGAGGTGAAATGATCACATTTATGCCTTCAGCATTTATATTCTCTGAATGTCTGAAATTTAATGTTAAGCTTAATTTGAAATTATTACAAGTGAATCGTGCCAGCCAGACACATTGCCCTAAGGCAATATGAAAAAAAGGTCTTCATGTAAAGATAACCTAGATCTGTTGTGTACAAAATTACCATATACTCATTCTCACCCATAAAAGCAAAAATTACTAATTGTTTACTTCTACTAAACGTTTGCAGTACTGGTGGACTTGGTGGAGACACCTTGGTGGGCACTTAGTAGGATATGACTGAATGGCCGACATTCGCCAGTAACCTAAATAAATTTCAGTTTTGGCTCATAGCATGCTTCCGCATTAAATATTTTGCACAATACAAGGAATAACTACTGTTTGCTTTCTGATTCAGTGTAGTCTTATGCAGTAAATGCATGATGTAGTTCCATGTACTCATGGCTTCTCATCTGGACTAAATCAGTGAAATTAAATATTGCAAAGTACATTGTTCTGAGATACTGGGTCTGAGAACCAACAGATTTTTATTTCCTTCTTTGCAATTCTTTCCCAAATTGTATACTTCCATTGGATTTCCTTGTGCTGCAGGTCCTCAGTACTTTCCAAAACTGCGTCTTGACAGAGAACATGCATGAGTCATTGTATGTGAGGTGGGAAGGAACTAAAAATCTTCATTTTTATGCAAAGTCAGTTTAGTTCCTTCCCACCTCATATACAATGACTCATGCACATTTTCTTTGGAACTAGATCATCTTTAAGGTTCCTCCCAACCCAAACCATTCTGTGATTCTATTTTTTTTTTTTTGAGGCGTGTCAAAGACTGAAGCGCGGGGTTGCAGAAGAAGGAGAAAGGAATAAATGCAAGATTATATTAGAAAAGAAGAGGATGCTACAATGTAAAGAATTTGAGGAAATATTACGCTGAAAGCCAGAAGATGACTTACTTAAGAAGTGCTGTCAGACACTGTATAGACCTTTCCAGCCTGCAGACTGGAAAAAGTTTGACTTGTGAGAAGGTGGATGAAATCCAATGCCAGCAATAGATTTGATTGATTAAAATTTTCTGAAGCTATCTCTGCAATAAAAAAAATGAAGTGCAGGCTTTCTATCTGAGAGGTTTTTTGTTCACTTTTGACTTAACCATTTTCTTTATCATGTTATGGTCTGTGATCCGTGGATTGATTTATTTATATCAAAACTTGAAGAGTTCTGATACACTTTGACTGTGCAAGCTGTAAGTTTGAAAATGTTTTGAATAGCTTAACCTCTACATTCTTGTTTGTTGATCAGCATTTCTAGCCTGTTTTCAGTAAGGTACATTCAGATTTTCAGGCTTCCAAGATGAAGGTGGGAGATGCAATATTTGCTCTCACCTTTTCTCAGTTTGTTCATGCGGGTTAACTCTTTCAGACTAATTATTAACTTGTAATCTTCATTGTCCTGTTTTGCAGGCTTTGCTGTAGCCCAGTGTATAAATCAGCACAATCCATCACCGCTCTCATCACCGTCACCTTCCAGTGGCAGTGGGAGTACGGGGCGCTGTGATTCAGTGACTGCAAGCTCAACATCCACTCCTTCTGCTGCACAGAGCCCATCAGGTATTAAATCACGATTTTCAGTTTAGGCACTAGTGCATGTGGAATAGTTTATTATAAAATGAAGCTACTATGTTATTGGAATAAAAACAGTAGATCCCTGTGTTTTTTAGATCACTTGATCTAAACCAGTTAAATTGTGCAGATTTTGATGATCTCTTCAGCTTTCTGGAACTCTAATATAAATACTTGGCATCTTTCAGCAGTGATTTTAAGTATGGGTGAAATGATGTCCTGCTTGTCTCCTGGCACATACAGTTGTGATATTGAAGTATTGCTTTGCGTGAATTTGTAATGTAAATTGTTAGCCTTTCGCCCTAGTTGGTAAGTTGTTCTCCGCATGAAGCATCTTTTTATGTTTATACTGGGACTTCTTGTTGCATTAGTATACCTTCATTACTTCTTTTTATTGGTGTGGTATTTGTAGTTTGTTCTGAGGGCAAATTATGTGTGAGGTAAAGCCTCAAGCTGGAGACTAAACAAGAAGTAGATCCTGAAGGGTGTATGCTAAAACACTTTTCATGCTAGAACTGACCCACCTTACCTCATTTAGGTTATAAAACAATAGAGGTAACTTGATTCTCAAGACCCTTTCAAACGGCCCCCTCATTTTAACCGTCACTTCCAATGTCGATCACTCCTTGAAATGATTGTTCTCATTCCCCCTTCTAAGACATACCATTTGCCTTTATTTGGAAGCCTCATGTAGACGTGAACTTTTTTTGCAGTCCTATGGGAAATGATGCAACGAAGAGTTAAGTATTTAGTGTTTGGTAGTTTTCACTGAACAGTGTCAGGAGATGAATGTACACTCTATGTCCAAAGTGACTATCCCTGCAAGAAGTATTACTGGAAAGGCTTAAGAAGTTTACGAGCCTATACGAAGCATTCTAACACCCAGACTCTAGATAAAAAGCATCTGTTGCTGTGAGAGATTAACATACAGTCAAAATACTCCTGCAATATGTGTAATTCCAGAATAAAATTTGGAATATTTTCTATAAGCTGTCTATTCAACACTTTGGAAGGACCTCATTTTATTTTCTCTGTTGGTAAGTGATTGCTGTTACCCAGTCTCTTGATGGACTAGCTAACACATGGTGATTACACAGAGAAATTATATCATTTGTCAGAAGTCTCAGTATGGATTGGCACTGCCAGAAAACATTTGTTTGACTACATATTCCTTAGCAGTGTAAAAAGGCTCATCTGCAGTGTCCTTTGCTGTACTTGATTCCTCTCTGATCAGTAAGTGAAATGCAACTACAAATTCTTGGCAATAACTGCTAAAAGAAAACTGTGATAAAGGAGATGAAAATAAAATATCTCAATTATTTTTGTTGCTCTAAACAGCATCCTAATTCACAGAAATATCAAACAAGACTATCCTATATGTTTCAAAACAGGTCTTTCAAGTACATATTATCTGTCTTATGTGAGAAACTCAGTAGATCCAGAGCACATAGTCTTCATCTAGCGTAAAAAGATAGTGCCTTACAGAAGAATAATCATAAACTATAGTTAACAAGATTAAAACCTACTTACACAGTATGTTAGCATTTGTATGACAAAATTCTGATTATTTTTCCTGCAATTTAAAAATCCTAATGACAGAAAGCTGCCCATTGGTTTAAAAATAAATGAATACGTGAAAAAGAAACTGACGTGACCACAGAAGAACCCCAAACTCTTCCCCATGCTGCCCACTCCCAAAACCCCCAAAAAAACAAATAAACAAATAAAAAGTAAAAAAAACCCTCAAGAAACAGAGGAAAGGTCTTTTTAATTGCCTGGTTTCAGTCACTTTAACAGTTAGGTTGCGTGAACTGTCCTCCCTTAGCCTGACCTTCACTGTGGCTTAATCATAAAGGGTGTTCAAAATGCCACATCTCATGCAGGAAAAGTCTTGGGGTGTGGGGGGAGGGTGTGGGTTTTTTTGCATAGGATGTAGGTGCTTTAGGAAAGCTAGTTGTGAGGATACAATTCTGTGCCCTACCACCACGAGCATAGTAACCTTGAGCAAAATCAGTCAAAATGAATGTGAGAATCTGCATCAGCTACCTCAGTCCCAAGGCAGTAGCTTGCATTAATCTGCTGCAGGCATGACTTTTGAGTTCAACTCCTGGATTTTGTTCTGCTAACTCTACTCGGAGAGCAGTAACGAAGAGGAAGACAGTGATGGTATGTGTATGAGCAGGTAATTCGGTGAAATAGGCAACGGACAGTTGGCATTGAGGTCCATGCATCCAATCTGCACCTGGTTTAGGGGTTTTGCTGTGGGTCACATTTAGTCTGACCTTTAGGACCAAGCATCCCTGTCATGTATGTGATTGTCTGAAGGACCAATTATCAGTTTAGATGTATGTTGCTGCTAACATTTAAAGTTTATTTGGCACATATTGCAGCATATCTTACCGTTTCCTTGTGAAAGAATCTCATTAATGCACAGAAACTAAAATCAAACTAAAGCAGTAAGTGTGCATAATTCTTCAAAGCTGCTCTAGTGGTCTGAACCAAACTGCTAATGTAGTTCTAGCTGATAATGAACAAGTGATGTTCTAAATAGTTAGAGCTGAGGAGCTGACACAGTGTCTCAAGGTCCATAGTACAGACCAGAGGGGATTCTGAAATCCTTCAGCTGGGGCTTTGGCAGATGGGGACATGGGGAGGGTTTTCTCCAAACCAGGTGTATTTGATGCTTTTTGCTAATCTTCAGCATCAGATCTATACTGTTGTCTGTTCCTGAGTAGGGTTTCTGCAATAACTGATTTGACCAGTTTACTCCAAGTTTGTAATGAATGTTCTCCCTTTTATAGTATTTATATCTAATTGTGAGCTATACTGGGAACAGTTGCCAGGAACATGACCATGAAAGAGATTATCTGGTTGGTATGTCCAGAGAGCTGTTCCGTAGGCTGGTGCATGTACACTGCTGAAACGGTGGTAGTGGCTTGACCACTGCGTGTGTTATATTGGGTCTTACTGACCACTCAGCAAGAGAGTTGTGGAACCAGTTGGTGGTATTCACCCACTGCAGTGTAAACCAAGGTGATCTTTCCTTAACCTGCCGAGGACAGTTGAAACTAAACTGCCTCACGCTGCTGTGAAGCAGAAGAGGCAGCTTGCATGATGTGGAGTGGCTCCTTCAAGGAGGAAGTAACTAGCTGACGAACAGCAAGCAGTTGCCAAGGTCTGTGTTATGCCCCTAGATAGCACTTGAATGCTGCCACCATCTGTCACATACGAATCTCCCCTCTCATTCACCATTCCATTTGAAACACATGTGAGCACATGTGTGCTCTCTATGCCTTCATCCTTCTCTGCTGCCCTGTGTGTTCTGGCAACCGCTCAGGTTGGTGACCATGAGGAGCATGCATGGGTGCTCAGGAACTTCAGACAGGATCAAGGGGAGGATGTGTATGTGGACTTCAAGGAAACTGCCACCCTTAGGAGTAACATCTTAAGCCATTGCAGCGGTTTCTGCTGTAGACTTGTGAATGTAGTGTCCTGAGCTACTGCCTGTTGACAGATTTAAACTGTTCAGAGTTTGATACATTTTAGGTGGTACTTGTAATTTTCAGAGTTGTTTCAGGAAGTTTTGGAACATACATGCTGACTTTAACATAAAACAGTGATAGATGAGAACAAAATAAAGACAAATTGTGTAATTGTGGAGAGAAAATGTTACGAGAGAGAATGTATATAAACAGTTAAACAGTAAAGGAGCTTTCAAGTGTATGGCAGGAAAAAATTAATTTGATGTTTTACTTGCTATCACTCCTGTCTGTGTCAAATCTTAATGTGAGGAGGGAGCTTAACTGAATTTACATATAATTTTATGACTGCTGTGCATGTTTCGGTCATTGTCAGAGAACAATATTTGCAATAACTGCTTTGTCATGAGTAAAATAAACTGTTACGATTCCTGAGTTTATCAGCTAACCTACCTAATAATTGTCACAATACTCCATGGCACTGATGTTTTAAAGCCTAGCAGCTCTCCCCCATTTGCAGTATTTGGGAATTAAGCTTAGCCCTTTACAAGACCTATTCCTTAAAACTGAAAAAGCAGAAGCCATCTCTTTAAGAGAGGAGAATCCCTAGCAAGACAGAAAAATCAGTATGAGGTTCTGCAAATGCTGGTATCAGGTTGGTTTGTTTTTCTCTGTATTTACATGATTATTTTTTTTAATTAACATGTCTGAAGTGTTCTATGCATAAGTGTTCTCTTGCTAGGCAGATTTTAATCATCAAGCTTCTGACCTTAGGATACAGTCTTTTCTTGGCTACACTTGCTGGAACAGTGCACTTCTTTAAAGTGCTTATTTTTATATATGCCAAGGATTAAGATAAAGAAGCTCTTTTACTGTAAGTTAGCAGTCTTCCAGAATTTATGTATGTGTAATGTCATCTATGCTGTATTTTATCACTTTTTAAGTTGTCTTAAGCTTTAAAATGCCATTGGCTTCAGTACTTTATAAAATGTTTACGTTGGAGCAGTGGATATTCAGGACTTCAGAAGGCATTGATCTTCTTTGCCACTTACGCTGTATTTCATACATCTGGCAGATATTGATGGTAAAAGGTCTAAAATAAGTACAAAGAACTGTCCCTTGTTGCAGAGAATATATTGGATTCCAGTCTGTAAAATAAAATTTATATATTCCAAGGAGAGGATGATTAATCAAGCATGGAGAGCCTGTGAGAGCAGCACCTGCCATCTTACTGAAACTGTCCCTGGCTCTGTCCTCTATAATCAGTGATGTCAATGTGGTTTGACCTCTTCTGTTCTATGATGCTAGTAATTTTCTCACTAGGTGAGGGAAGTACTTTTGTTTCTAAAAAGTTTGTAGAAAAGAAACTTTTTTTTGGCTTGTTTCTTTTCTAGAAACTTTCTATGCACCAGGCATCATCATCTGAACTGCTGCTGTCTTTTAAAACACACTGTTTGGCTTTATTATAAACCAAATCTAATACTTCGGTTTCATATCATAAATAGTAGG